TGTACTTACAGGCTTTCAGGAATTGGCACTTGAGCACCTTCTGGAGTTAGTGCTATTAAATTAGCTTTACTGAAACTTCTCAGTAATAGCGTTAAAGCGTAAAGATGAAAACCCACAAAGAGCTGTGAATTATAGTACAGTAACACCTAGACCACCTGTAATAGAATGTAGTTCGAAAACCTGGCTTCCTCTATGAGCGATTGCAACTGAAATCTAATCTGATGTTTTAGGTCTGGTCTTCCCCTTCAAAACTGCATGCTGTTTTGGTCACAACCCTATCTCAAAAAAGATACTAGAATTGGGAAAGATACAGAGAAGGGCAACAAAAAATATTAGAGATATGGAACAATTTTTGTATGAAGAGATTAGAAAGACTGACTTTTCAGCTAGGAATAATGAAAACTAAGGGGGAATATGATGGGTCTATAAAATCATGAATGGTGTGGATTGTTAGTCTGCCCCAGTATACCTGTTTTTATGTACACCTTAAAAATTAGGTTGATGTGATTACGTTGCTCAGAGGAGTGAAAAATCCACACCCCACAGTGACATTGCTATGCTGGCCTCTGATTGCAGCTAGGCTGACAGAAGAACATTTGTCAACCTAGCATCTTTTTGTCTGGGGAGTGTTCAACGGTGACAGAAAAACCCCTTCCATTTCTGTTGTTTGTGTCTACACTATGGGGTTATCCTGGCATAGCTATGATGCCACAGCTATTCTACGCTCCCTTTAATGTAGACATGCCCTTAGAAGCATTGCTTTATTGGCTTGTCTTGGTTCCCCATGGAAATTCCCATTTCAGAACCACTGTGCATAATTAGGCATGTATACTCAGAGTGCCAGAACAGAGTTTAGGATACGTGCCAGTTAGTTCACTCCTAGGATGTTGTAACTACCTCCTATGATATTTTAGCTGTGACATGACATAACCCTTCCAGACATAGCCAAAGGCTGTAGTGCTGTTCTATACTCCTGTGTGAAGTATGGTTTGGTCCCAGTTAGTCAGGAGTGACCAAATAATGATTAACACAGGAGGGCTGGTATTCTACTTGCAGCACAAATGAGGTTGGAGACAGAAATGGGCGGAGAGGAACGGACTCTGAAAACTTCAGTCTATAATTCATTTTGATTACTTCCACTTATCAGGACCTGGAGAGCCTTCAGCAGATAGGACCAAACTAATCTTTCAAAAACTTTTCCTTCTTGGAGATCAATGGCATACTTCCTGAATCTCTGAGAGCATCTCAGGATGAATATTTTGGTGTTCTTACAAATATGCTGGGCTGCTTATATTGCAGTTACAACAGTAATAGTACTTGGGCTCGTTAGAGAGAACCCAAATTCACTGAGTGGATTTTAGAAGGCCAGGTATTTGTCCTTCCCCTGTCTCTGCCACCCCCATTATACAGCACAAGACAACTTGTTTTACGGGTTTTTATTAAAGCCATTTCACCAAAACTCATTCATAGGCTGCCATAAAACATGGCATCACAAATACTTTTGTGTCATTGTTTTTATATGTATCCATTCAACCTCACTTCAGTATTCATCTGTCTAAAATCAAATGCTGTGGGTAGAGAGCTAAGCTGCGTTATGTCAATCTTTAAGGGGCGTAGGGGGGAAATGCTGTTCTAAAAATAGTAGTCAGGGAAGAATCCTTTCTTTTTGCCTTAAAGGAAAATCCTGTTGGCTTTGGAGCCCAGCTAGAGATTATCAGGTTTATTTGGGCATAAGCTTTTGTGGATAAAAATGCATCTGAGGAAGTGTGTTTTACCCACAAAGCTTACGCCCAAATAAATCTAAGGTGCCACAGGACTCCTCGTTTTTAATACTGAGTGACAGGTGCAGGAAGTATATTTACTTAGATGGTGGTGAGCCAATAAACTACACCAGACATGCAGAAGGGAGGCACTCTCAAATTTGAGAACTACTGGCTTAGAAGAAAGCTGGCTCTGAGGAAAATGCACAAGTCTCCCTAAAACAAGGGAAGCAGTACATATATTCATAGCAATGGAAAATGTGTCAGAGGCTGGAAGTGAATGTCAGGAAAGGGATCATCTGAGGATTGTCTGTTCTCTGGGGCACCTGGCATTGGCCACTGTCGGCAGACAGGATTCTGGGCTAGATGAACCGTTGGTCTGGTCATTCTTCTGTTAATTCTTGTGCTAGTCTGCAAGGATGAGGTTTAGGAAAGCCGGTGATGAAGCTCCTCTAACCCAATAGTTTTCCTGAGGAACACAATCCTTCCTTTTCTAGACAATTACCAGAGGGTACTAAGAGGAACCATTGTTTTGTAGGGCCAAATGTGGCAAAATGCTTCAGGCTCCCTAGTACACATTAACCAGTCCTGTAGCCATGTCATGGCTGTCTTGATTTTGCTTTTTTCTTGGTCTCCAGTGGAAGATAGACATTGTCCTAGAAGGCCTATTACTCTGGAAGGAACAGCACTGAAGGGCTTCAGCATAATTCTAAAATCAGGGGATTTTAACAGTCTTCTCATAGTAGGATTCCCTCAGCTTCCAGTGCCAGGTCCAGCCTCAGCAGGCTTCTGATACAAACAGACACTTATTTGGACGGAGGCAAAGATCCAGGTGACATGTGGAAGTCTCTGTCCTCTTTTTCCTTCCGCACCCTTTTTTGTGTTTAATCTTCTAAATAGTACTACTACTACTACTACTACTATTCATACTCTTTCTCATAGACTCATAGACTTTAAGGTCAGAAGGGACCATTATGATCATCTAGTCTGACCCCCTGCACAATGCAGGCCACAGAATCTCACCCACCCCTCTTAGAATAATCCTCTCTCCTGTATCTCAGATATTGAAGACTTCAAATACTTTGAAGACCCCAAGATGCAGAGAATCCTCCAGCTGTGATCTGTGCCCCATGTTACAGAGGAAGGCAAAAAACCTTCAGGGCCTCTGCCAATCTACCCTGGAGGAAAATTTCTTCCTGACCCCAAATATGGCAATCAGCTAAACCCTGAGCACGTGGGCAAGACTCACCAGCCAGACACCCAGAAAGTTCTCTATAGTAACTCCTATCATCCCTCCATTGACCTATAATGAATGGTCAATTAGTTACCAAGATCATGTTATTTCATCAACCCATCCCCTTATCATAGAATCGTAGAACTGGAAGAGACCCCAGAAGGTCGTCAAGTCCAGCCCCCCGCTCTAGGCGGGACCAATCCCATCTAAATCAACCCGGCCAGGGCTTTGTCAAGCCGAGACTTAAACACCTCTAGGGATGGAGACTCCACTACTTCCCTAGGTAACCCATTCCAGTGCTTCACTACCCTCCTAGTGAAATAGTTTTTCCCAATATCCAACCTGGACCTCTCCCACCACAACTTGAGACCATTGCTCCTTGTTCTGCCATCTGTCACTACTGAGAACAGCCTCTCTCCATCCTCTTTCCCCATTTTCTTTCCCTGCTGGCATGAAGTCAGATTGTTTGAAGAAATCTAGAAAACTTTCTGGGTCTAGAAAACTTTCCAGGCACACCAGAACCATCTGAGAAAATGTCATAGCATGAAGTGTTCTCTCTACACTGGCGGTGATAGATGTGTTAAATCTGTATCTGAGAAGGGGGCTCTTATTTCTGTGTGCTCCCCTACTAGTCCTATCTCACTTCAGGTCTGAGATTAACTTACAGGAGGGAGAGAGGGAGACACAGACCTACCTGATTTGAGCCATCTTGGATAGTGTCTACAGTGGGAATCTTACCAAGGAATAACTATTTATCAGTGACACCAGATATAAACAGTTGTCCCATGTTTGCGCTACTATGTTAATTACACTTGCCAAAAAAAGAGCCTGTACATGTGTGACGTAGTGGGGGTACCTGGCTGGTTTCTATGCTGCTGGCTCTGGGGT